GGTGTAACTTTATTCAGTAATTATAAGTTTATAAAAAGTGGAAACTGCTAGCAATCCCTTGAGTTATTATTTCAGGAACATATTTGATTAATATCTTTCTCTCTATCCTCTTTTTTAATATGTTCTTTGCCAAATGTATTCTTTTTTATTCATTATTCTCCCCTGCTCAGTCTCTTTGCTTTTTGCTCTGCTTGGCCAAAAAAAAAAAAAAAAAATCATAACAACAAACCCAAAAAACCTACAACTTTTATTTTATTCAGTGACCTTATTCCAGTATGCAGCTTCTGGGTTTTTTTTCTTTTCTTTGTTGCTTCCTTTTTAAAATTTAACCTTGTGTCTTTTTTGTTCTTCCTTCCTGTTAGTTTGCTGTGGGCAACTGCTAAAGGAAGCAGTTGCAGACAAGACAAAACTTGGAGAACTCGTTAAGCCTTATATTGACAATGGATACCCAGGTAGGGCACGTTGTCTCATTACTCTGTAGTTACAAATTTGTGGCAAAAAATAAATTGTGAGTGAATTTTTCTTGGTCAGATTCTAATCTGAGCTATGCCAGAGTAATCTGGAAGTTGATTAATTCCTTTCATGTGATTTGTAGCACTGTGTAAGAGAAATTAGATTTTTAATTCTTTGATACCTCCAAAGCAAATAGTTCACTGTTCCAGTGGAATTCAGATTTTTTTGTACACATTCCAAACTTTTTATATCAAAATCAAAATCAGAATTCTCATATAGATTTATAATTTTTAAAGAGAATCATGTTCCATTTTTATTTCAAGTGGGCTGTAATAAAGATCCTGCTTTTGCATGTAGATTTTGACTTGTAGAATGCTACTGTAGAATCCTCTACTTTCACACAAGTAGTTTTAACTTAAAGTTTCTTTGCACTTCATTTCTATCAGCATTTTTGGTTGTAGGAGGGGACTGCCATAAAGAATATCTAAGCATACTTTGCTTTTGGATGACTCTGCGGTGATTTCAGATAAATCATAAATACTGTAAGCTCCTTAGGGCAGTAGCTTAAACTTACATGTTTGTTAGTTGTCTTGCACAAGGATAACTCTCTGTTATGTGGTGGGTGTTAAAAATCAGAAAAGATCTGTAGTTCTGAAGGATAAGATGCATTTCATTAGGGTGGAAGAATATTTATTTTGCCAAATTACAGTGGCCTGGAAGAGGAACTTTTAGTCCTGTTTCTGGCAACAGACCAAATGGTTACCAGTGATACAAATATAAGGAGACAATCTTGCTGAAGATTGAGAAATCTCAGTTAAGCTTCAGTATTAATGGAATTTTCAGCAAACTCCCCATGAGCAAAGAGAAATCTTCATTGTCTTTTATTTTTGGCAAGAAAAGTCATTTGGTGAGGTGGAAAGCTTGAAAGTCCCCTTTTTTTTTGCACAATAGCTTAATTCTGAGACTGCATTATACAGATCTGAAACATGAGCCTGTAAAATTAACTGAGGTTCCCTTGATACCATACCGAGAGATTTAGGACTTTTCTAAGCATTTCAAAAAGACCTTTGGCAGCCTGCAGCTTTGGGTATTCTGTCCCTCTGTTAGTCACTTGATCAAGCCACAAGGTAATACATTTTAACTCTAAACTTCCTCTCTAGTGAATGGATTGCATTTATTCTTAATACAGTAACTCGGCTAGTTCACCGCATTAATTTTCAGTGGCATCCACCATGTTGCTGGGGCTAGGAGCTTGTGTGGGAACCATGGGAATGGGTGGTGTGAATAGTCTCTACAGCCTGAAAGAGAGAAACTGGGTCTTCTGTAATATAGGCACAAAGATCTAGGAGAGGATTTCTGATTTAGAGATACTACTAATCAGAATGGCCACGTTACACAAAGGCAAGAGTTCTTAGTGGGTA